ATGGAGCAACCACCATGAACACACTCCTGCACTAGCCAGATATGCCACTTCTGGGCTAGTAAGAGCTGATACTAAATTCTGCCAGCAGTGCTAGCTGTCTTCTCTTCTCTTGGACTTCTGAGCACAGCCAGCCAAACTATGACTGCCCTCTGCATGGCTGTACCTATGGTGAAGGAATAGGGTTCCTTGTGCACTCTACTCATGCTGGAGTCCAGACAATTGGGAATAGCCAAGCATCATCTTCATGACTAGTGATGCATAATATGAGCAACTGCCATGGTCACAGTCAAGGGAGATGCCTGAGCTAAGTTCCATTGGTTTTAAAAGAGAATGAGCTGCTGGCAAGCTGTTCTCCATTAGGGTCCTGCACCTTTGAAACACTCTTCTTCCCCAGAACCGTCCAAGTCTGCTAACCTTCAGGGCACATAGCAATGCAGATCTTTTCTCCCTGGTTCATAGAGAGTTGGGAGAAGGGTGAAATTGGGGACTGTGGAGGTGGCTGTGTTGATTGGGTTTATTAAATGTTGTTACATTTGTGGTGTTGCTAGGGTAGTGCTATTAGTTGATTGCCAGAGTTTGCATTAATTGTAGTTTTAAGAGTTTGTCAAAGCCTCTGAGAGCTTGAAATGGGCATTCTTTTACATGGCTAGTATAAAGAATTAATCGACTTGTCACCAATGCAGACTGTCTGTATTTAAGAGATCATTTCCAATATTAATCTCCACATGCTGTACTGTAGTAAGGAAATATATCTGGTTTATAGTGTAATGATATCATTGTGCTGAGCGACAAAGGATACATGTATACTTAAACATAAATAATGTTCCCTTAGAGTGTTGAGAAGTAAGACCTTAGAATTCATTTTAGAGATTGAGAGAGAGAGAGAGTCAAATACAGCCCTGTTATAATCAGGCACGACTCCACTGAAGTCACTAAAAATATACTACGGCTTTATTTGGCCCATAAACTGTAACTTAATATCTCCTCAAATACTAAGCCACAAGAAATGTGAATAGAAAATGCTGTTCACTGTGAGAGAGAGAGAGAGAGTGTGTGTGTGTGTGTGTGTGTGAATGCTGTGCTTCTCTGCATACCTTGCCACTGCAGTCTCAAAATTTAAGAGGCCAAATTCAGCCATGGTGTATCTTCAGTGATATAGTGGAGTTGCATCAAGGCTGAATTTGGCTTAGGATCCAATGACTGAGAAGTAGAAGATGGGCCACTGTCTAAACCATCATAATCTCTTCTTTGCTAGTGGAAATTGATAAATGATGTGTGTGTACGCTCATGCAGCATATGCATGTCCTTGTATGTGAATATTTTCTATTTTTGTTATATATACCCACATAAATTTTCTGTCTTAATGCTGACTCACAAAAAGCTTAGATTGTGTTTTTGTGTGCTGGCTTGTTTGTTTCCCCTGTCCAGTTTGGTGAACAGAGGGGGAGAAATTCATGTTAATCATTAACCTTGATGCTCTCAGGAAATTAAGGGGCCTGATAGCTTCAGGGTAACACAAAACACACAATCACAATATGACTTGAACTACATGTTCATGCAAATATTACACATTTCAAATACACAGATTGTGCTACTTTGCAGTATTTGAATTTTATATAGTGTCTTCCATGTAAAAATCTCAAAGTGCTGAACCAGTATTAATTTATTAAACCTTACAACATTACTGGGAGGTGGAAAAGTTTTATTAATCCAATTTAACAGATGGAGAAACAAAGTTAGAGACAAATTAAGTGATTTGCCGAAAGTCACACAGGAAATCTGTGGTAGAGCTGCACTTAGAACCTAGATGGCCTTACTCTCAATCCTGCATTTGAACCTCAAGACCCTCCTTTCTCCAGATGTATATAATTTAAACACAGATTATTAAATAAGAATGAGAATTGTAGTCCCCATTGTGCAATTCCTATTGACTTGTGTGCACTTAACTGGAGGTAGAATTTAATTCTGAATGTATATGGAGAGTTCATGAAACCACAAAGAGCTCAGTGCGGTCACAGTAATGTAAATAACAGGAAATTGATCCAATGTGGTGATTAATTAGAGAAGCAGTACATTATCTTTCTGCTTCTGTCAAACCGAAGGGTCGGGTCCATTTAAGTCCATTGAAATTGATGGAGCTATGTGGATTTATACCAGTTGAGAATCTGGCCTGCTGGAGAGTTAGTACCTGGGATCAGAGTAGACAATGATGGTTTAATGGTTTTATAGCAGTAACAATATGGGCTTGCAACCTTTTATTTTAAAGAGAGAGAGTTTATGTATGTATGTGGATCCCTATTTCATTTGATCACTTTGGAAGGTTCTTCAGAAAGGAGATGAAAAAAATCCAGCAGTTCAACCTTATTCTGCTGTGCTAGTGTCAGTGTTACATATATGAACAATACTTAATTTATTTTTAAAAATAGAGATACAACAATGAAGTTCTGTTTCAGTGGTTCAACACCCACTGCTTCCAATATGTTCTACAAGAAATCATCTGAGGGAGTCATTGACTGCTGGAGGATTTCTGAAACTTGACACCTCTCCTGACAGATGTCTCATAAATTGAGTGCAGGAATTTAAAAGTTCAGACATCATGTAGGTTGCAGAATTTCTGGCAGTAGTGGAGTCCCTCCTTATTAAGTGTACAATTACCAAGAATGACAGTAAACAAGAAGCTGGTTGACAGGGACAAGATTTACTTTCTCTCACTCCAGCTATTTTCCCCCTGGAAGTCAATGACACAGCTTCCATTGATTTCAGAGCCCCTTGCTCATATTGTTTGATGAGCAAACTTGATTTTCTTCATGCCATACTGTAGGCCTATTTTCATAATTTAAAGCTACATTCTGCCACCCTTACTCACACTGAGTAGCACCTTACTTCATGAGTAGTCCCACTGAAATAAATGAAACTATTCAACATAACAATGGCAGAATCAGGCCATTAATCTTCCTGAGGGAAATAGGCCATTGTCATTAAGGGTCAGAGTATCACTCAATATTCACCCATTGTTGATACTTACGTCAGTCTTTCTGCATACTGCAAAGTGCTGATCTTTCTCTATAAGGTTGTCCTTGGGAACTTGCCTTTTATATATGAAGCATTTGTAATTAATTCAATGGAAGCAGAAATTAAATTACATCATGAAAAAAAGTGTAGTGTAATTGGTCACCAAAGCTCTGGAAAGTTGGAGGAAATGTGTTAGTCAATTGTAGTACTGGATTGGAAAACTCAGTGTTATTAACTGAACCACACTTTCAGCCATAGTTATTTACTTATTTTGATTTAAACAAACAAGAAAATAAGTAGAAAGTGGCCATTTCATCCCTTTCCAAATGCAAATTTAAAAAAAGGGGGGGGGGCTTTGCAGCATATTCAGAATGTCAATTGACTTGAGCTGTCTCAAACTAGGGCAAGTGAATTTCTAATTCAAGGAGCCTTCACAAAGAAAGGAATGAAGGCTCAGATTCAGAAAAGTACTTAGGCACCTAAACACCAGGTTTAGGTGCCAAGGCAAGTCACAAAAGCCCTGCTCAGCTGCCACCTAACCCTGTATGTGCCTAAACTTGGTGTCTACATTTTCAGGGTTAAAGTTCTCTGGGAACCTAAGTTTCTGCCTAGGAGCCCCCTCTTGTAAAGATCATACAGAAGGACAATAGATGCCAAACCCCCAATATCTCTTCTACCAGCCAACAAAAACCTTTTTCTAAAATGGAATCCAGTTCCTCTCTTCCCCCTCCTGCCATACTTGCGGTAACTAGAGCTACATGGATCATGAATTTTTCAGTTTGCTGGCAATTCCTAAAACTCCAAACAAAAAATTCAGTTTGGGTTGACCTGAAACCCAATTTTTGGCAAATGAAAAAGTTGGGATAAATGAAACTTGCAAATGAAGGCTGGATTCACAAAATGACCAGAGGGCGGGTATTGTGCCCTCCTTATAATTTTAGCCCAGTGGTTAAGGTACTAACCTAGGATGTAGGAGACCCAAGTTCAGTTCCCCTCTCTGCTGAATGTGGAGTAGAGATTTGAATGTGGGTCTCCTATAGTGCACTATGGGATATTCTGGTATGGAGCTTCCTTAATCTGTTATATTGAAGCTGTTTTACTTTGCAGATAGTCACTGGAGCAGAGATGTGAATTTGCATCTCCTACAGTCTAGGTGAATGGCCTAAGGCTATAGTCATTCTCCCTCTATGGCTGTGACCCAATGACTATCCATGATCATTCACAGTAGCAATTCATAGTCCTTCACCGTTTAAAAAAATTCACCCACCTGTAGTGGTAACTTCATGTGAGTTACTGAAGTTCTGTGGACCAAAAGGAAGGAGAGTGGAGTGGGAATCAAGCAAGGAGCAAAAAAGTCTTTCTGCCCAGACTAGCTCCACAACTTACCTTCACTGAGCAAGTTGGGTCATCAACATTTCCCCTTCCACATTGCCCTTGGGATCAGTCAGCCTGCTGCAGAGCCTGTTTATGTAAATCCATGGGGCTTACACATCTTCTTAGCCACACAAACAGGGTTTTGCCCTGGATGTTTCGTCCTTCAACTACAGGGATTAAAAGTGGTTCAACTATTCTCTTTTGAGTAATGCTGTTGCATGTGGATACTGATGGTGTGCCTTTTCCCATTTGGAAAGTGGGATATAGGGAAAGTTATCTCTATTATAAAATTTCCAAGCGTTTTGCTTGTAATCCCTTTGAAAATTAAGGCATTTAATATCATGAGTGTTTGCATATAATGCTAGTGTGAGTAGATCTGCACAGAAACACAAAAATAATAAAGCAGGAGTAGATGGAATTATCAAGGATGAATCTTAATATTTTCAAGCCATTTTCATGACACTCCTTGTAAAGCAAGTGATTGAAAGCTGAATTGCAGTGTCTGAGTAAAGGCACTGCAGGTGTGTGGCTAATGAGTTACTAACTAAGTAACTAGATGTGGTTGAATGGAAGCACACCTGATGTTTGTGAGGCTCTTGTTGATCCCAGAACAGTTGAAAGGACTGAGCTTAGTAAATGGAAATATTAACACACTTCTAAAGTTTGTTCAATAGAGTCTCTTACAAGGATAAGCTCTTCTGTGGTTGACACACACCTCCTGGGAATTCAGTTACCACTCCTCAGCCCAATAAATGTGTGCAGGAGTTTCAAATCCTGGAACTTTAAAAGCTTTTTTGGATAGTTCTTGGTAAGTCTGTTAATTTTGTCATCTTAGAGTTAACTATATTTTCTTCTACATGTTTGTATGTTATCAGAGTTTTGTTTTGAAGGCTCTGTCTTATTGAGGATACTTTTGCTCACAGTTCACCAATAGCTAACCATGTGGAATTTATCAGCGGTTTTCTAAAAGCTAAGTGAAGTGTGTAATATGCACTGCAATTTTCTGTACTTTCCTAAATGCAATCAGGATGATGAGCATAACAGCATCTTCCCCTGCTGAATTTTTGCTGGTTAGATGATCGTATAAGACTCTGTCCTCTCTAGTCCCTCAGGATGTCATTATTTTCAGTGTTATGAATAGCAGGATAATGGGTTATTGGATTCTCTTAAAAGTTCTAAAGCTCAGCATGATTTGGATTTTTTTTTTAAATGCCAAAGCCTAGCTCCAATTGTATCACTGAAGGTTAAACTGATGAATGATCACAAGTTCTGAAGTTGCATAAGAGTTCTTGATCCTTCTTCCTTACCTAAGGCACAATGACAGTTCTATAAACTGTCTATTGGGGATGAGGGGGAGGAAAACCAGCTAAGGATCCTAATTGTTCCTCTGGGGTTCATTTTCTTCCTCAAAACCAGTCACTCATTTCTCACTCTGGGACATTGATTTCAGCTGTTTGTTGAGACTACACCATTTCTGAAATGGGAGGGCTCCTAGTGTCCTGAAAGTGCTGCTGCTAAGGTTTCCAAAAGCAACTCATCTAGTGATTGTGGTGACCTACCTGAGATATCTTGACTGGTGTTGATTTTCAGAAAGCACCAAATGCTCTTTCTTCCCTTCTCTCAAGAGTGGCACCCCAAACCAGTAGTGACTTTTGAGAATGGTGGCCTGTGTTTGTACAGCATGTGCTGCTTTGGGTGTGGGCCCTTTGAGAAAGACAGAAGAAGTCAGGCTCAATTTTGCAAAGGAGGGGATTACTCAGATAGTAACCCAAGGTAAGTGTCTCTGAGGACTCAAGAGATGGTTTGCATGAGAGTTTACCCCAGAATCTTCTTAAATAAAGGAGCAATACTCAGGGGGAAAGTGACCCAGAGATGCTCACCAGATGGACCATACTCTATGTCAAAGTTTCAGGTACCAGTGAAAGGGGATGATCCCTACGTAAGTAGTGGAAAATCTAATGTAATGATTGAGTTAGTTTGTCTGAGTTGCAGTTGGGCTAGTAGCAGTGCTTGGGAGGGGTGTGGTTATAGCTAAATGCTGCTGTGTACCCCTGGGAAAGCATTTAGCAGCTTTGTCTGAATTGTAAATGATATGAATACAGACCTACTTCCAAGGGATGTTGCGGGTGTTTATTCGGAAATGCTGGTGATATGTGTTCCAGTTCTTGAATGGAAGATTTTATAGTATTATTAAGGGACTCTCTTCCGCACAGTTCAGGGTTAAGCCAGGAATAGAGAGTTGTGATAGTTAGGCTGGAGATCAGGTATAGCAGTAGCGGGGTATGGGCTGTTTATCTACAAAGGTTCTGCAGTGATCTAGTTTGCTAGGGACACCCCTGGCTGACTATTGAATTTGGGCCTGGGGTTCAGATGCTGGGGGGAGAAGTAAGGGGTAGCAAAGGTGGCTATGATGGCATAACTGACTCCAGTGACAAGAAGCAGAGGCAAATGCCAGCATGTTTGTTTAGTGAGAGCTGGAGATGACAGTAGCAACTGTGCACTGAGTAAAGAAAGATGAACTGTGATACATTTAAAAAGAACAGGAGTACTTGTGGCACCTTAGAGACTAACAAATTTATTAGAGCATAAGCTTTCGTGGACTACAGCCCACTTCTTCGGATGATAAATTTGTTAGTCTCTAAGGTGCCACAAGTACTCCTGTTCTTTTTGCGGATACAGACTAACATGGCTGCTACTCTGAAACCTGTGATACATGTGAATCAGCAATAGTGGTGCCTTAGACTTGAGCATGAGGTGTCATGTGTTGGACTTGAAGCCACTATGTTTCAGTGAGATGCCAAGGTTTCTCAGTTTCTACATAAACACGCTATATTGAGAATCCACTTTGGTTAGTGCTGATGGATTATAATGAAATTTAATTTGAACTCTGTGATTTAATCCATTTGGCAAAGGGACCACCCTAAGTATAGAGGAAATGTTGGTAGGAAAGTGTGAAGTATTTATTTGAATCTATATTGAGACTGTTTCCTGAAACTACAGCTGCAGGTGTAATGTAAGGGAAATCTCAGGATTTGCAGAGGTGGTGGTGGTGAAATGTGGTTCTGTTGAAAATAAATTAATGTATATTTAACAGGAGAGTTCCCCTGTTACATGATTCCCATTCTAGCTCTCCTCTACCTTTTAGGTCATTTCTTATAATTGCTATGCTTTATTTTAAAAGGTATTTTTACATTGGGAAAAAATTAAAAATATGAAAAAGCATAAAAAGGGCAATACAGTATTGTAATTACATTAAGTATGAAGTGAGTGGTTTGTGGAATGTAATAAAAGTAAAAGGTATAACTCCTGAGAGAATTGATCTAAATCTCTGACTAGTTAAACCTGTAAGTCTTTGGTCTGCAAGAATTTGTAGCTTCCTTTTTGCTAATAAAATAAGCCATTTGTTTTTACTTGAGCGCTGTGGGTCTGATTCTCCTCTTAATTATATCTATTTTCAAGGGAGTTACTCCACTGGCAGTGAGAGGAGAATTGGGCCCTATATATGTCATCTCTCAAATGGTGGGGAGACTTCTACTATTTGGGGGTTGTTTTTCTACAAGCCAAGACAACCAAAGCCAAGTAAGAGAACTGAGCTGACTGAGAAGGATTTCAGTAACAATAGGGTGTGAGATGACAGACTTTGACCTACCGTACTAAATGAGAAAATATAAGGTCTTCTGCTGAGTGAGATACTATACTGTTAAATATTGGAGAAGGCTGGAGCCCTGGGTTAAGGCTTCATCAGCCCTGCCATTGTTAGCCTAGCTCAGTCCTGGATAGAAGAATTTTCTTTGGCTCTGTGCTATATCCTGACCCTCTATAATGTTATCACCACCACATATACAAACAGTATGATCAGCTGGCACCTAACAGCCCTTTACAATCTAGATTTGTGGAACCTACTGGCCAATCTTTCTTTCTCCTTGCTTTGTATTAGTTTATCTTAAGTTATTGGTTCATCTGTTGTTGCCTTTTGTTTCCTTCCACCTGGCAGAGTGCCAGCTGTGCCCTGAATCTCTTGAAGCATTCTTTGCTCTTGTGTAAATGTTATTGTCACCTGAATCACACTGTTCATCATGCCTCAGGAGATTTCTTGATCTTCATGATGATACGATGAAATTTGTGGCCTCAGATCTCTATGATGACTTATATCTTAGTGTGTTTGTTCACACAAAGGTATATGGAGTATATGAATGAAGTGCACAGGCATAGAAAGTTGGCTTATAAGAAGAACAGCTTCCCCTGGGCGCACAGTTCTTCATGTTCTGTAATGTCTGGGAAGGATATACAGGACATTTACAGGACCGTCAAATGGAATTTCAGTCAAATATTGTTTTATTGCTTGTCTGAGTGTGATGTGGGTTCTGTAATTACATAGAAAATGTTACTTGTTTGCACATAGATCTACTGCCTAATCTACAATGGAAACTTTCTTCTGGGTTTTTGAAATGAAAGAGCATCTTGTTCTTTCTATTCCCGTGGCAAGGCACCCACATCCTCATTTGCATTCACAACTTACAAAACAAGGAAGGTTTCTGTTTTGTTGCAACCAGTATTCATGAATATAAAGACAAACAGCTGAGACTGTCAAAATTCATCCTTTTAGCAACCTCCCAACAATTGTACCAAAGGAAAAGTTAGGAGTTGGAAATCAAAGAGAGAAAATAATCAGAAATCAGTGAGAAGTTTGAAACCATTAGCATTCTCACAAATAACCAGCTGTGAGAGATGTGGAAAAATATAAACCTGCCTAAGTGAATTCCCTGGTGACTCTGTGTTTTGTTTAAAATCAATTTTGTGTGGTCAGGGGGAGATGATACAGAAGGCACAAACAGCCTCTGGAAGCTTTGTTTGCAATGTCATAGTCTTCTGAAATCATCCATTTTTTCCTGCCTCTTGATTTATGTCCCAAGGCCTGATGTAGCCCTGGAGCCCAATTACTCAAGTCTTTTATAAGCAGTTATTGCTAACCCACTAAGTGACTGCAGAATTGCCATTGGAGTCCAGTGCATGTTTCTTCATGACCTACTTGTTCCTTCCACAGACAAGTCACCTTGATGAATCTGAATTGTACTCATGCTGATAGCAACTGTTTCCATTCCAACCTCCTGTTTTCAGTGCCTATACATTTAGAAAAGTTTTCTATATTGGGAAGATTTTCCAAGATGAGTTTGTGCCTGAGTGAAATTTTATTTTAAAAGTTGAACTGAAAAGCAAATTGACCGTAGGGAGTCGAGGGGAGGGAAGCATACAACTTCCATTATTTAAAAAAATAAAATTCTTATAACTGCTGTTTGTTAAACATGTTTTTAGCACAAATGGGCAGAGGCAAATTAAAAAAAAAAAGAGAACTAGAAATAGTCCTCACTGAGGAGAATTGCCTTTGAGTGGCCTAGTGAAAATTGCTTTGGATGTGACCAAGTTATGAATCTCTGAAAATTTATTTCTGCATATGTGCAGAAAATATTAACCTGACTTTTCTTGCTGAATGTGAGGCTAAGGAAGGCTGTACTATATATGTGTACTTGCTAGCTTAGCTGTGTCTTGAGAAGTGAACTGAAGGTGGCCATGGGCTATGCATCATACTTTCCAAGATAAGGTCTTGCAGACTTTAGGAGGGGTCTGCAAAAAGAGTGTTGAGCTACCACACACAGAAGCAGAGTTGCTCTTCTGCAATACTGCCTAGTGGATAGGGTACTCTACGAGGACTCGGAATACCTCGTGGCTCTGCCTCTGGCCTATTGGAACATGTTGGGCTAGGGTTGCCAACCCTCCAGGGATTGTCCTGCAGTCTCCAGGGATTAAAGATTGTGTCATGTGATAAAACCTCCAGGAATACCTCCAACCAAAATTGGCAGCCCTACTTTGGGCAAGTCACTTTCTTCTCTATTATGTGAAATGAGGACAATGATACTGACCTCCTTCCTAAAAGCATTTGAGATCTACTGATTAGAAGTACTATACAAGAGCTGGGTAATATTATTTATTTATTTATTTATTTATTATGGTTGTCTGATGTCTGCAGGAGGTAGAGGAGAATGGACAATGTAGCTTGGGAGCTAAAGATGGCTAGGAAGAGTGAGATTTTTATGGTCCTGGAGCAATGAAAATCTCTGAAACTGAAAACTGGTTTGCCTGGAAAACGTTACCTGCCCAATGCTTAAATTTTCAGCACTTCAGGACTTTCACCAGTTCTTGTGAGAAAATGTACGTATCCAGCACTAGCGTAAAAGTTTTCCATATTAATTGATGCAAAGTTCCCACCAATTTAAGTTCTTAGTGTTTAACCAAACAACCATGATATTCTCTCAAATTTGAGGGGGATGAAGATATATAGTTCTATAATGAACCTGTTTATCTATTGGGTGCATACTGTACATCTGAGCTATGCTTTGATATTTTTAGATCCTATGCTGGTCATTTTAAAACACAGATGATAGACACTGCTATTTGGCAGTGTTTATGTGTGTGTGTATATATAATATAGGATTTTCTCTAGATTCTATACTTTGTTAAGCAATCTATCTCATGAAATGATGACGGAGAGCTGAAATGAGACTATAAAATAAGATATTTAGGGCTTGTTGATATGGGGAAATTGACTGGCATTGCTATTGTGGAATAAGCTATTCCACTGTCTATTCTGGTATAACAGACCTGTGTGGACGCTCTATTCTGGAATAAAAGTGATTTCATTCTGGAAGCAGAATAGTTTATTTTAGAATAAAATCACTCTTATTCCAGAATAGCGTCCATAGGGGAGTTTTACCAGAATGGCTTATTTCACTTTAGCAATGCCAGTTAATTTCTCCTTGTAGACAAGCTCTAAGTAAATTTCCCTTCGATTTCCTAAAACTCTGTAGAAGTAGTGACGCAAAAATCTGCTGCCCTTCAGTTCAGAGATTGCTGCACTTTGGTGGTGGATGAACTAACCTCTACATATTCTGTGAATTATAGAGCTGACTGGAACATTATTACCAAAATAAGCTGTCTAATTGAAGATGAAACACTTTGGCTCCACAGAACTCTTATCAGGAAGGTTTTTGAGTTGAGAGAGACAGACATTCTGAATTTATAACTAGGTGATTAGGGCACTGGCCTGGGATGTGAGAGATACAGGTTCAAATCTTGGCTGTCTGATTTGGAGTGATAGGGGATAATAAACTCTGCTCTGAATTAGGCAGAGCAGAGACTTGAACCTTAGTCTCCCAGGCCAGTGCCCTAGCCACCCGGCCATAGTGTGACAGGTGAACGCCATTTTCACACAACCTTTCTAAAGGTTTTGTTTTCACTCTAATGCAGAACAAAATCAAATATTGAAAACTAGAAAGCTGCTGTGAAAGGGACTTGTCATCTGGTCAACGCTAGTAAACACTTGGGAATGTTCTGCCGGTACTGAATTGGCAGGAGACAGGTCTTTTCCATCTCTAATTTTTATGAATCTGTGACTTACCATTTGGGACACTTCAGTACAACATAAATATGCCAGGCATCATCAGAATACTTCCCCCTGATTTGTCTCATCCCTCCAAACATGCAGCTTTAGAGAGGGTGGTTGGCAACTGTCACGCACAATGTTTACTCGACTTTTGCTGTAAGTGGTGCGCTCTTAATGAGCGTTTCCTAGTAGGCCACTTGTCTGTTATAACTAATAAACATAAACACTGGATAAAATCCCTGAGCTTGTTTGAGAGAGCAGTATTTTGATTTACCATCAGTCTTTCTTCCTCCAGCCCATATTAATGTGTGCCACAATTGGCTAATATTAGATCTGGAAGCAATTTGCCCTAATAATTCCAAAATGAAATGCTTTTCTAACTGACACAGTAGCCTTGAGCTTTCCCTCCCCTTGAGAAAGCAATTCAGCTCATCTCCTTACTAATGAAGTCTCGCCTGCTGGGGCCAGTGTTAGTTTGTATGTCTATACTGCAGTAAAACACCATGGCTAACCTGGATCAGCTGACTCAGGCTCATGGGGCTCTGGCTGCAGAACAGTAAAACTGCAGTGTAGAAGTTTGGGCATGGGCTCTGGGACCCCCCCCCCCCCCATGGGCTCCTGTAGAACAGGCTCCACTCTGAGCCCAGACGTCTACACTACAATTTTATAGCCCCACAGCCTGAGCCCAGCCAGCCTGAGTCAACTGACATGGGCCAGCCACGAGTGTTTTATTGCAGTGTAGACCCCCTAATTGGCTTTATAGAGCAGGGATCAGCAACCTCTGGCACGCGGCTCCACGGTTCACCGTCCAAGGCCAATGGGGGCTGCGGGAAGCAATGCGGGCTGAGGGATGTGCTAGCCGTGGCTTCCTGCCACCCCCGTTGGCCCAGAGTGGCGAACCATGGCTAGTGGGAGCCGCGGTTGGCCGAACCTGCCGACGGGGCAGGTAAACAAACTGGCCCAGCCTGCCAAGGTGCTTACCCTGGCAAGCCGCGTGCCAGAGGTTGCCAACCCCTGTTATAGAGGAAGAATCTATAAAGAATCCAAATACAAACTGGGTTCCTCTACAGGCTGCTGGGGTGGTTCTTTTTTCCCTTTTTTGGAGGGACAGGGTTATTTGGTTTTGTGTGGGGTTTTTTTTTTCTTTTATAGCCTTCAAATCTGCTAGTGCAGTGTGCTATGGAAATGATTATGAAAACTGGATCCTACAACCACAAGCGAGATTTAAGCACAACTTCTCAAACAATTGTAGTTGTCTACTTAAATTTGAGAAATAATGTGTGGTCTGCCCACAGTGAAGATGAGGCGCCAGGCATAGCAACTTTTTCATCAGTGATCTGGAAGTAAATTAGAAAATCACTGCTGAAAGAATTTATAGATGACACACAGATTTGCAGAATGGTAAATAATGATGAGAACAAAACACTCAAAAAGAGCAATCTGGATTGCATGGTAAACTGGGTCTGTTCATCTAAAATATATTTTAATATAGCCAAATAGTAAGTTACACATCTAGGAACATGTAATGAAGGCCATATCTATAGAATAAGAGACTATATCCCAGAAAAGAATTAGGACTCCTAGTGGAAAAGCAACTCCGCATGTGCTCTAATATGATGTTATGGCAAAAAGGCCTTATGCAATCCTAGGATTGCATAAACAGAATAATAAATAGAAGAAGGTGGTGGGTTTTTTAAACTTCTGTATATGACATTAGTGAGACCAATACTGACTTAACCTCAGAATGCTGTACTGGAATACTGCATCCAGTTCTGGTATCAACAACTAAGAGAGGATGTTGGGAAAACTCAAGAGGAGAGGGGGCAGACGAGCCACAAACAATATTTGAGAGCTGGAGTAAATGCTTTACAGTGAGAGCTGTAAAGGGTTCAGACTGTTTATTTTATCAAAAATAAAAGATTGAGGTGACTGAATTGCACTGTATAAATACTTTCATGAGTAGAAAATATCTTCATAAGAACAGCCATACTGAGTCAGACCAAAGGTCCATCTAACCCAGTATCCTGTCTTTCGACAGTCGCCAATGCAGGTACCCCAGAGGGAATGAACACAATAGGTAATCAAGTAATCTATCCCCTGTCGCCCATTCCCAGGTTCTGTCAAACTGAGGCTAGGGACATTATCCATGTCCATCCTGGCTAATAGCCATTGATGTACCTATCCTTCATGAACTTATCTAGTTCTTTTTTGAACCCTGTTATAGTCTTGGCCTTCACAACATCTTCTGGCAAGGAGTTTCACGGGTTGACTGTGCATTGTGTGGAAAAAATATTTCCTTTTTGTTTGTTTTTAAATCTGCTGCCTATTAATTTCATTTGGTGACTCCTAGTTCTTGTGTTATGAGAAGGAGTAAATAACACTTCCTTATTTACTTTCTCCACACCAGTCATGATTTTTATAGACCTCTATCATATCCCCCCTGAGTCAACTCTTTTCCAAGCTGAAAAGTCCCACTCTTATTAATCTCTCCTCATATGGTAGGTGTTCCATACCCCTAATCATTTTTGTTGCCTTCTCTGTACCTTTTCCCATTCAGATATATCTTTTTTGAGATGGGGCGATCACATCTGCACGCAGTATTCAAGATGTGGGCGTACCATGGATTTATATAGAGGCAATCTGATATTTTCTATCCTATTATCTATCCCTTTCTTAATGATTCCCAACATTCTGTTTGCTGTTTTGAATGCCGCTGCACATTGAATATATGTTTTCAGAGAACTATCCAATACAGATCAAGATTGGATGCCTTTCTGAAAATTATGCTTTAGACAAGCACAAGTTATTGGTCTTGTTACCAGAGTAACTAGGTGAAATGTCTGTGACATATAGGAAGTCCAGACAGATAACCTAATGGTCTGTACTGGCTTTAAACTCTTTGAATCTATGAAAAATACTAACAGGATCTTCTCTAACAAACATGATTAAATATCTTATGATAATTTTTAGGAATTTTTGATCTGTTGTCACTCAAATTGAAATCTTAAGGGCACCAATAGCGAAATCATATATCCACACAAGGACCACCTTTTACACAACAAATATAAGCTATATTGCACAACAGACATTTTAAGTCACCTCAGTGTAGAGGGCCAAAATTTTTCCCCTCTGTTATGTCAGTGGAGTTGCTCCAGATTTACACTGCAGTGGAGGCACGGTACAGGCTGGCCATCTAAGAGCAGAATTTAGCCCCAAGGCTTCAGTCCATCACTGAGTGTCAAGTTGAAAAGCTGGAGTTTAAAGGTGACATTTTGGTCCTGTTGAAGTCAATAGTAAAACTCCCACTGACTTCAGTGGGCTAGGATTTTGTTTTTTGTGTAGACTTGTGTACACAAATACTTATGAATACAATTACACCCACAATTGTAGTACAATGTGCACCCACACTTCACACAGTTACAGACCATGGCCCTGGTCCTATGAGATCCATATGGACCTCAACCCAGGCACGGAAGTCCATCCATGTGATTTCTTTGTAACATTTTGGCCCATGTTCTAATGTATTAGAACTCTGTGGTGGGATAGCATTTAGTATCATTTTTATCTATGCTATTTCGTTTGTTACAAAAGCACTTTTGCACTGGAGTACCAAAACATGATAGTTACAACCATGGCTTTGTTTGATAATACACTCTTTGATCAGGGACTTTGTTTTCCTCAGTGTTTTGGAAAATAGTGAAAACCATGTTGGGCACAGTCTAAACAAGAAGATTTGAAAAGTTCTACTTGAAATGGCAGAGCCACGAAT